TGTGTTTCCTGAAGACAGTATTTGGTTTGTACATGTTGTATCCAGTCAGCCCTGCTGCCTCTTCTGTGGGGGAGTTCAAGCAGTTAACATCCACTGAGAGAATTGATAAGTAGGGTGGGGTTCTGTTCGTCTTGTTATGTGGAGGACTGGGGCCATGTGGGAGCTGGGCTTTGTCCTTTAGGGGGGTCGTCCGTCATCTTGGTCTGTGCACAGTACAGGTCTGAGTATTTCCTGCAGGGCTGGTCTCACACTGGCAGATTTCATCAATGTTTACTTGTCAGTAAAAGATTGATTTCCTCATCAAAAATGAAACTTAGTTTTTCAGGGTGGAAAATTCTACATTTGTAATTGTTTTGTTTGAGAAGACTGAAGATGGGAGCCCACTGTCCTCTGGCGTGTACAGTGTCAGCTGAGAAGTCAGCTGACATCCTGATGGGTTTGCCCTTGTAGGTGAGCTGCTGTTTACCCCAGGCTGCTTGCAGACTTTTCTCTTTCATTTTGAGTTTGGCCGAGTTAATTACAATGTGTCTAGGGTATGCTCTGTTTGAATTGAGTCAGCCCAGGGTTTGATATCCATCATGTAGGTGAATGTCTGAATCTATAGCGGCAATGTTAGAGAAATCCTCGGCTATAATATCCTTGACTAAGATTTCCATGTTACTGGGATTCTCTTCTTCCCCTTGGGGATACCTGTAACCCATGTGTTGGTATGCTTCCTACAGTCCCCTAATTCTCTAAGAGATTACTCGACTTTTACCTTCTTCTTCTCTGTCTCTTTAAATTACTGGATTAGCTTAAGAGCCTTGTCTTTGAGCTCTGAGATTCTTTTTCTCTATGGTTTGTTTGTTTTTTGATATTGCGTCTCACTCTGTCACCCTTGGTAGAGTGTCACAGCTCACAGCAACCTCCAACTCTTGGGCTCAAGCAATCCTCTTGCCTCAACCTCCCCACTAGCTGGGACTACAGGTGCTCACTACAATGCCTGGCTATTTTTTAAAATATTTTTTATTACTTTTTTTTTTTTTTGAGACAGAATCTTACTATGTCGCCCTTGGTAGAGTGCTGTGGCATCACAGCTCACAGCAACCTCCAACTCTTGGGCTTAAGCAATCCTCTTGCCTCAGCCTCTCCAAGTAGCTGGGACTAAAGGTGGCCGCCACAATGCCCAGCTAGTTTTTCTGTTTTCAGTAGAGATGGGGTCTTGCTCTTGCTTAGTCTAGTCTCAAACTCCTGAGCTCGAGTGACCCACCCGCCTCAGCCTCCCAGAGTGCTGGGGTTACAGGTGTAAGCCACCACACCCGGCCTTTGTCCATGGTTTAATCTATTACTGAGACTTTCTGTTGGGTTTGGAAGCTGTTTGAATATCTCCTTTGATTCCTTTAGCTCCTTTATATTATTTTTCATTGTGTCTAGATCCTGGGAGACTTTGTCCTGTCTTTCATTCTATTCTTGGGTCAATTTTTGGATTTCCACTTTTTCTTTATCTGAATCCCTTTTCTGTCATTTCCGGGACTTCTTGTGGTGGGATCTTCTGAGGCAGCGCCACTCTCCTCCCTGGCACTTCCCCACACGGTGGTGACTATGTGGGCTCTTCCTCACTTGTGGTTTCTTCTTTCATTCCGGGTGTCGTAGTCTTGTGGAAGGTTATAAAAACTTTCCTAGGACAGTAGGGGGTGCTCCAATATTACAAAAACACACAGCTGCTTTTAGATGTGAAGTTCTAAGGCTGGAAGTAGAATTTCACAACGTCTTGTGTCAAGTTATCCAAGACATTGGAACTGATTTTCCTGCTCTGCAAGTGAACACCTGGCAGGTGAAATGGGTACCCCACCGAGCAGTGCTCCCGGCACCTCAGCCTAGCTATGGGGAACCGTGTGACAGGATATGCCCAGTGATAAGTAATGTGCACAAAGATTGAAATGCAGCCCTTGGATGGGGCAGGACTGCCCTAATGTGTGTGGCAGAGCAGTGGGCTCTGCCCGAAGATGGTGACCCTCGCCTGGAAAGGCAGGCCGAAGTAGGTTACAGGGCTGAGCCTTAGAAAGCCACCCCACTCTGGACCTTCTCCGTCTTTAGCAAATTCAGGGTCTGGGGCAGCAGAGCCCTGCTTTTCTAATATCTCATAGGAAGCTGGGTTGCCTGCTCCCCAGACTATACAGACAAACCTACTTGTACTAGAAGGGAAGGGCCTGGACACACGGGGGGCTCTGTCCCTATAGAGATCCCACCAGACCCACCTGGACTCTAGAAGGGAAGCTCCCGGACACACGGGGGCTCTGTCCCCACAGAGACCCCACCAGACCCACCTGAACTCTAGAAGGGAAGGTCCTGGACACACGGGGGCTCTGTCCCCATAGAGACTCCACCAGACCCACCTGAATCTAGAAGGGAAGGTCCTGGACACACGGGGGGCTCTGTCCTCATAGACACTACAGGCCAGACCCCTGTACTCTAGAAGGGAAGCTCCTGGACACACGGGGGCTCTGTCCCCATAGAGACCCCACCAGACCCACCTGGACTCTAGAAGGGAAGGTCCTGGACACACCGGAGCTCTGTCCCCATAGAGACCCCACCA